GCTCCTGTGTGAGTGTGTGTGCGGGTGCGTGTAGGGGAGGGAAATAAGAGATGCGGAAGCTGTTGAAATACCCATGTGGTACCTTCTCTCGTGTCTGCATGTAAGCATAAATTATGAGGTACATGTGCACACAAAGACAAACACCTACTAGGCAGGTACAGCCGGGTTTCACTGTACTATGTTAACCGACCAGGTTACAACCTGGCAACGTGTGTTCGTTTTGCGTTACTTTTAAGAAATGCCTGTAGGTCTTGGCTGTATAACTAGGTCTGTAGAGTGTCACTCCCGCAGTATTAGCCAAAGGGCAAGGAAATGTCACATCCCACATGTTGGGAGCAGGTAATGCATCCTTACGGTTGGAGTGTGTTTACAGACGTGGCTTGTGATTCTTGATATGCAAACGCCCTTGCGCTAACCTCCTGGGCAGGGCTTCCTCCAGCATCTTCCATTCCTGCTTTCTCCAGCTTCTTTCTGTACAGGCAGCATCTGCTTGACTAACACGCTTGCATTTTATCTGCTTATCCTTTCCCTCCCTTTGCTTCTTGTCCATGACAGATATCAACCTTAACTCTCCCAACAAAGGTCTGCTGTCCGATTCAATGACAGATGTGCCTGTGGACCACCCCAGCGCTGCTGCCACAGCAACTCCTTCAAGAGCCTCGGCCTACAACGGGCTCACCGAAGCCGAGGAAGAAGAGCTAAGGTCTGAGCTGGCCAAGGTAAAGGTTTTCTTGCTCGGCAGGTTACCTTCTGTCCTCTCCTTGTAGGTTGGGTAGGAGGGAGACCAGGTTCCTCCCCCTCTAAGGCAATTAAACTTTTCTCTGTCGTGTCAATTGTTCTTCCTGAGCTTAAAAACCAGTGAGGAATTTGGAAAAAATTCCTAAGTGAATAGCAACATTTTTTTGGAGATTAGTTGTCTTTCCTCCGAAGAACTTAGGCAGGGAGATATGGTCTCTTCCACCTCCCCACTTTGTTTCATGACCTTTGGAATAAACCAGTGAGAAGTTGACTTAAGCAAGAACCACCAGTGGCATTGTGAATTGAGTTTCCCTGATACTTTGCTTCAGCCTTCCTTGACTCAGTGCTCTCTAGGTAATTGGATTATGATTATCATCACCCTCATTGCCCAGAGATGAGGAGAGCTGCAGGCCAAAACGTCTAGAGAACATCTGGTTGAAGAAGACCAAAAGTCCCTTCAAACTTTTATTAGCTTCTTGCTGGAGCCATTCATGCTGTGAAAATTATTCAAAAACAATACTTTAGAATGTGCAAGTACAACACCTTTTTTTCCCCTTGGGAAAACTCCTGTGTGTGCCAAAGCACCCTTTCCAAATCATTTTTAAAACATGCTCAGTTCTATTTACTGCATTGCATTGATCTTTAATGAATAAGCCAGTCCCATAACCTAAGACTTTTTCACATATCTTTAGTTATGGCTAGACATTGGGCATGGAGAAGGGATGACACAGTAATTTGACACATGTCGTCAGGTGTTAATCGTCCTCTTCATTGTGGAACCGTGGCGCATACATTACAACATTTCCAGGGGCTGCACCAATGTTTCTATTCATTATACTTACATCCTGTCTTTCCTGTAGGAGCTGAAGGTGATAGACATAAGGTCCTCCCTCATTTTACACTCAGTGGATGGGTTCACGCACATATTAAAGCTTAAATGTAGATTAACAAAACACTGTTGCTTTGTTCACATAATACTCTAAGCCCAAATAAACCACCACTACCTGTGGCTTTGTGTGGTTCTCACGACAGGCAAACTACATGCTACCCATTTTAGCCAAGTTCTTGCGCAAATCCAGCTAGCCCAGAAGCACCAGATGATTCTTCTTCTAAAAAGCTTTTGTCTTATAAGTAGCCAATGTATTTTTTTAATCTGTGGCTTAATTTCAGGCTTGTATGTCTAGGTGATTAAAATCACCAAGGTCTGCAAAGCGATATTAAAATTGCAAATCAGAGTACGTGTTCAGGGTTGCGTGAGCATTATAATAAAACTGATCTCCATTAAGAGATCCTGAGTGTACAGTAGTGCTTGCAAGCCTAACAAATACTTTGCAAATCACTTTAAGATCCAGCCTTCCCAGCAATTTTGTTTGATTTAGGCTCATCTTATCTAGTTGCCCCCGGAACCTCAATTTATTTTTCATTTAAGCACTTATGTGAGCCACGTCGTTATTTTTAGAACATTTTCTGGGTTTGCTGGCAATATTCCTACAGTCACTAACCTTATATAAGATAGACATTGGGGTGCCTTGGGCTCCAATACTGTATGGCCCAGTGACCTCCATTGCTGCCAATCATCCTCCCTGCCCCATCTTTTAAAAAGATGATAGGAAACCACAGTGTCACAGCACACCAGTCTCTAGCATCATTTTTATTTGCAAGATTTCCTTAGGTTGTCTAAACATGCGTTTAGAAAAGTAGAAAACATGGAGGGGCTTCTTTTACCTTCTGTTAAATGGGCGTTTTGTGAATGGCCATGTCCTTCATGGCAGGCATTTTGTGTACAGGTAAGGTATCTTCCATGGTAGCCTGTTTGTGAATGGTCTTAAAACTTCAAAACAAACCTTAAAATGTGTAGCACGTTGGCTGCATTTATGCGACATGCTTACCTTCCTGAACAAGTGTGCATAGTACCTCAAATCATCAATTAATCCAAAGAGCTGAATCTGCACATCATGGAGACTCACTTAAAATGACCAAGCTTAATGCTAACGAAGCCTAGCGTGTCATATGAATGCAGCTGGTGAATCGGTCTGGCCTGTTTAAGCGTGTTGCGCAACCCCCCTGTGGATGTGGCTGATGCTTTGACATTCTTAACACGCCTGTAAAGTTGACGTATTAAGATGAGGCTTCTCTTGAAGAACATGGGGTATTTATTACTCCTCCTCTGTGCTGTCTTCTACTTGGCCTTGTCTAATTTGGACTTCTCGCCCAACTCTGTTTCCGTAGGTGGAAGAGGAGATCGGCACCTTGCGCCAGGTATTGGCTGCCAAAGAGAGACACTGCGGAGAGCTGAAAAGAAAGCTGGGCTTGACCCCCTTGGATGGTTTGAAGCAAAATCTCTCCAAAAGTTGGCATGATGTCCAGGTTTCTAACGCGTAGGTGTTCCCTTCTTTGTGGTCTTGTACGTTGTTGCGCACAGTAAGAGAGGAGCGCTGAAAAGGTGTCTTGTAGCTCGGCAAGGTGGAGAAGGTACTTCCCCTCCATTTGCTGCATGGTGTATCTGTGAAGTTCTCCGCCTCTGCAGTCCTGACTTAGACCCTGATGGGTTCCTGGGTGAGGCTTCCCCTGCTCATCGGGGCATGCAGAGCCTTCCCCAACGTCACTCCCTCCAGAGGCCTTAGAACCACTGGGCATCTTGAGAGTTGTGGTCTTAAGGCATGCAGAGGGCTCCCAACTGTGGAAGGCCTGTGTATCTTGGAGGGCAGCATTTCTCAACCTCGGCAGCTTTAAGATGTGTGGACTTCAACTCCCAGAATTCCCCA